TTTCAGCGTTTGAGAGAGTACGGCGTCGTTATCAATCCCATGAAATGCGTCTTCGGCCAGCCAGAGGTCAAATTCTTAGGATATCTCGTTTCCGGCGCAGGTACACGTCCACTTCCAGAAAAGGTCGAAGCAATTCGCAGCTTCCCGCAACCAAGTACAGTAAAAAAGTTGCGTCAGTTCTTGGGTATGTTGAATTTTTTTAGAAGATTCCTACCTAAGGCGGCAGAGACGCAAGCACCTTTGAACGACCTCCTCCAGGGCAACGTCAAAGGAAAAACTCCGGTCAACTGGACACCAGCAACGGTGGCCGCATTCGAGGCGTGCAAGGAGAGCCTCGCCGGAGCCACATTATTGGCACATCCCGAGCCAAACGCACCATTGGCTATTTTTTCGGACGCGTCAGATTTCGCCGTCGGAGCAGTCCTCCAGCAGAAGGTTGACGGTCACTGGCAACCGTTGGACTTCTTTTCCAAAAAACTGAGTCCCACCGAGTCAAACTACGGGGCTTATGATCGAGAACTACTAGCCATTTATCTCGCAGTCAAACATTTTAGGCATATGGTAGAGGCGCGGTCTTTCACCATCTACACAGACCACAAGCCAATCACGTATGCCTTTCAGAAGAAGAATACCGAGTCCTCGCCCCGCCAAATACGACACCTGGACTTCATCAGTCAATTCACGACTGACATTCGCCACATAGCAGGGAACGAAAATGTTGTCGCAGATACTCTTTCTCGCATCGAGGCTGTGGAAACCTCGATTGATTTCCAAGCTCTGGCAGCAGCACAACAGCAGGATGAGGAACTCGAGAGATTTCGAACAGGTAATACAGGCCTGCAGCTCAAACTGGTACGAATCCCAGGCTGCGACGTATCGGTACTCTGCGACGTCTCCACGCGAACAGCGCGTCCTTACGTCACCGAGTCATTTCGCCGAGCTGCATTCGAGTCGATTCATCGTCTATCCCATCCAGGCGTTAAAGCCACCGTAAAACTGGTGACGCAACGTTACGTCTGGCCATCGGTCAAATCAGATTGTCGAGAATGGGCCCGCAACTGCGTAGAGTGTCAGCGTTCGAAAATCTCACGCCATGTCTCTTCGCCCATCGGTACATTCTCGCCACCATCAGCGAGGTTTGAGCACGTGCACTTGGACATAGTAATTATGCCACACTCAGAGGGTTATCGTTACTGCCTTACCATGGTAGATCGGTACACCCGCTGGCCAGAAGCCGTACCCATTAGCGACCAGGAAGCAGCAACCGTGGCACGAGCTTTTTACGACACATGGATCGCACGATTCGGCACCCCGCTACGAATAACCACCGACCAAGGTAGACAATTCGAGTCGTACCTATTTAAACAACTAAATTGTTTATTAGGAACCACTCATTTGAGAACTACAGCCTACCACCCCTCAGCCAACGGAATGGTTGAACGCCTACACCGACAGTTAAAAGCGGCAATCATGTGCCACCAGAATAATCGCTGGACTGAAGCGCTATCCACCGTCATGCTCGGCATTCGAGCAGCATGGAAAGAAGACTTCCAGGGTTCCTCCGCGGAGCTCGTATATGGCCAACCTCTCCGCCTGCCCGGTGAATTCCTAGGCATCCCACGCGACGAAAACAGCGCAGACAACAGCACCGCAAACTTCGTCAAAGAGTTACGTCAACACGTGCGTAACTTGAAGCCATGTGAGGGAACACGGCATGGAACAAAGAAGACCTTCATTTTCAAAGATCTCGCCACGTCCGAACAAGTTTTTGTACGCCACGACGGTCCCAAGCAGCCGCTTCAACAGCCATACGACGGTCCGTACAGAGTCGTAAGGCGATCGGCGAAAACGTTCGTCGTCAACATCAAAGGTCGAGATGTCACCGTTTCAATAGATCGGCTCAAACCCGCGTACATACTCAATGACGACACGCCCACGTCATGGTTTGGCCGCGACACTACGAGGACGACGCCCACAATCGACGAACCAGCGCCCTTCGCAGATCAACCCCACGACGACGACGAGATGCTAGCTTCCACAACAGCGAGAACCACGAGGTCAGGAAGACGGGTGCGCTTCCCGGAGCGCCTGCAAAGCGGTTTTTCATAAAAAAAAAAAACACTAGCAGGGGGGTACTGTAGGAACAACCGTTCCCACAAAATCAGGTGATCTACCTGAGCGTATTCAAATAATTGTAAAAATGTAAATACTTCCTATCCTTCGTCTACCTGCCCTACGCTCCTACCTACTTTCTCTTTTCCCTTCTAGAATTTTCTAAACTCCGTTTTTACCTACTTCCACCTCTTCGAAACCGAGCTTACCTGTATACCATTTTAAACACCCTTCCTTCTTCTCCCTGGCACCCTCGAACAGTAAACAACGAAATAAAATCTCAAAACCGTACCGTCGCTTTTAAATCACCAACAATACCCACAGTATTAGAGGTCAACTGCCGAAGATAAAAATACCGTCTTGTAAGAGCTACGTTTAACAGAAATCATAATCTCGGCTGCTAATTACCTACCTACTTTTTCAGAACAAATCTTAATTTTAAATTTAATGTTCTACATAGAACTGCTAGTTTACTACCTATACACAAGTACACACTGCTATAGCCAAAGCAGTATGGTTTTCTAAGCGATGGAACAACACTCATTTCATTGACAGTATTAAATTATGAATTAAAGTTTACCATTTCGTAATTTAAGTGACCAGATGAATTATTATTTATAATAACGTACGTATAGAATAGTTTGGCAACAAGGGTAGAAATAATATCTAACAATTTATTTTTTAGTATTTAAGGGGCTAAATCAACTTGAAATTGACCCCTAAGACTCTAGTAAGCTATGACAATAGTTTAGTAATTTTTAGTTAAATGTCTACGTCAAAACTTACATATAAGGAATTCACGTTCGGTAGATGTAACTAGATTTGGTAACTTTTTTTTTTAAGCTTTGTAACTGCGGACATAATTGTTCTAGTGTATAATGTATTACTGGAATGTCAGAAAGTAGGTATCAAAAATGTGACATGTAAGTAAGTAAAGGTCAAATATCGAAAATGTGATGGTTTTGTGGTAATCTAGTGAATCTATTTTTGAACCAAGGAGAAAATCGCATCCCTCTAAAAGCCCAAAGAGCAACTCGCATGTAAAATTTTGAATCTTTTCCCTTCACTAGTTTTTTTAGGAGGACAAGCTTTGATGTCATCATCATGGATCCACACAATTTCACCATGGATCCGTTCTGGTATATCCAAGTCTCATCCAAGAAAATGAACAGTAAATCTTCACCACAATCACGCAATTGGAGATAGGTACCGCCTTAGAAATTTGATTCGGGCAGCTATAACGTGTTTAAAATGTGAAAAACTTCGCCTTCGGAAACCTAAATTTATACGTGTATTACGTACAATTATTTTCAAAGCCGAGTGTTTTACCTCTTACAAAACACTAACGATTATATAAAACTTAAAAACCAATTGTAGAACGGAACCAACAAAGCATGTAGGTATATAAATCTGCGCAGTCATTTTTCTGATTCTGATTATAATATTAACGGCACAAGCGCCGCTGTATCTGTATTATTTTAAAATTCGAAAAACACTCGACAACACTAGCGAACTTTACGGAGAATATTTCTTCCACCAGTTTAACTGTTTCGTTTTACCCAATTTTTTGAAAACCACGAAATATTTCTTGTTTCTTTTCCTTTAAAATGAGCTTTCTCGTGATTACTTTTATGGAAATTGTTTCCATGCTGTATTTAAGGATTTTCTTGAAACGAAACGTGTTGAAATTAGAAAAACTTCGTTTTTTTTCCACACAATTCAGATTTGACATTTGAATTGACAGTTGATGCCAATCTTAAATTTCTAGTGATCTTAAGATTGCAACTTAACCACAGAAAAGTTTCTGTCAGTTACTTCTACCGAACGTGAATGCTTATTATTATTATTTTAGCAGTAAATTATAAATTTACTTGTTATACTTAAATAATAAAGAGCGTCAATTTCGACTGGAATAATATTAATACTTACTTATTTTTAGTTTTTTTTTGTTGATATATAGCGGCGCTCTATTGTGTAACCTTTGAAGCGAATCCACAATTCATTTCTAATAATACTCTTTTGTAGAGGGAAACAAACTGCTAGTACTAAAAAAACGATGCACTCTCCCAGAGATAATCTTATACATCAAACAGCAAAATACCAAATGTGGCAACTACAAATGCGAAATACGGCAACACAGCCATATGCAAAAATAAACCATATATTAAACGACGGAACATGTTAAAGATTGGCTTATATGCACAGGTCCCAAATTTATTCTCTGAACCAAATACTTACTTAAACTGATATAAAAACTGCCACAGATAAAAGCATAACTCGTGAAATTATATTACACGTTGTAGACCAGGAGTAATAATCACACAACATTATCTAAACATTTCCTCACGACATACCTCAAATGTATTCGTGACAAGTAGTCCCAGACCCAGCATAACGCCACGTCGCTCTAGATCCCTGTTAAAAAGTAGTGGAAACATCATGGAACTCGATCTCTTTTAATTACATCGACTTGTCAGCTTTTTACCCGTAAGCAAACACCTCTTCCCCATTTTTACCTGCCACAAAAATGTCCAACACGCAACTTAAATACCTATAAATAAGCTTGGGGCTATCAGATTACCCGCTCAGAAATGGCGCTCCCCGCCGACGTGAGCTCCCTCAAGCGAGACCTCAAGTTACCAGTGAAAGCTCTAGACCAGTGGCGTCCTCTCAGCGGAGAAAAGCCATCACGCGCGAATGAGCAATTTCGTTTGTGCGATCGATGATTTAGTCTCGGCCTACCGAGATTGTTATTGGAGGTAGACGTAAGCTCTGCGCGCTGATTGGCCGGCTGACGGAGAGCTTTGACAGTTGTACACACCTAGATAGGTGTAGAGCTTTAGGCATATGATAGATTTGAAGTATCAGTTGTTCTCGTGCTGTATACACAGTAGAGTTGTTGCTTGACCGGTTGGAATTGAACGTGTCTTTAACAACCCATTGACTCCAAACAGTTCTAATCAAGTATTTGGGAATTGTTTAATTGTCTTTAAATAATTCCGATTACACTTTCGTTTCGATTAAACGGTGTGATTTTTAATCGCGTGGTGCTATTTATTTTCGTTTAGTTCGTTTCGTGTACTTTTTCACATGGTGCTCTAAAAGTTTTGCCAACTTGAGCGGCGACGCTTTAATGTAAGTTTGTTATTGCTTGTGCCGTTTATCTATTCTTTTTTTTAATATAATATTTTGTCCGGAGTGCGTTAATTTCAAAATAGGAACAAATACTGAAGATAATTTTTTAAGATTTTGAAGTAGCGAAAAAATTGTTAAGCGAATATCGTTTAAAAAGTAATTTTTAGCATTTTATAAATTTTGATAATAAATTCCACTTGCTATTTTATAAATATTCTTTTAAACAAAAAATGACTGTAATTACTTGGTAAATCAAATAAAGTGGTGTGTTTTAAGCGAAAACAAAGTCATTGTTGATGTGAAGTTTCCGGCGGCAAAATTGTCGGTTTTCATTTGAGCATTTAAAAAAAAAACGAGCATCGAACTCTTATAAGTACCAAACCAAAATTGTAATAGAATTTTGCTGATAACATAAGAGGTACCTATTATTCTCTCCTGTTATATTAAAATGATTTTATCTTTAATTTTTCCACTTTTGTATTTCTTTATCGGTGACTTGGTGGTAATTTAATTAAAGCATTTAATATTAGTTAAAATTAAATTGCCTATTTTATTTAAATTGCAAACTACTAAAAACTAGATATAAAATTAAATAATTCAGTGCATACCTTACGGGCCATGTTAAATGCTCTCGCTGGAAATAGGTAAATATAAATCTAATAAATAATCTATCTAATACATTTTCCTTCTTTTATAAAATAATTACTAATTGATTTATCAACACAACAAAACCCAAAGAAGCTAACAGATGTTTGTGTTAAAAAGTCGTTTAATTTTTTTTAAGGAGTTTTATTCTAAATGAGGTAGTCTTCTTAATTATACCTACACTACCATTCATAAGTAAATTAAGCAGCAACGTTTTTTAGGAAAAAAATATTTTTTAAGGACGGCTACATTTTTTTAAAATGAAGAAATAATCTACTCTTAATGAGACAATGACATACTACTAATTGGGTCTTACTATATAATTATTTTTTTTATATAAGGCCAAATCGTTATTTTTTTGCAAATTTTCGAACATGACTTTTTTTTTTATTCAGAATTGGAGGTAAAATTGGTGTGATATATTTTTCGCTTCGAATTAAGCTATAATTAATTGGCTTTGGTTTATATTTTTACTGTGATGTTAACATTGCGATTTTTTTTAACTAAAATGGCAAAAATCAAAGAAATATCTTTACAGTCACGCGCCTTGATACCAAGCACCAGTTAGATATTACGAATAGAGCAATCGCCAGAAAAATGAAAATGTGTCGTGCCACAGTGGATTAGATTGTCAAAAAAAAAAATAATAATAAAAAAAACAATAAACTGCGGTGCCTAATTGAATTACTTATGGGTGGTATTGTTATTGTCATAGTTTTATCACTCCAAGTAAATGATAATGCTTTATCATCTTGAAAAAGTGAAATAATTGAGAAATATATTCACAATGCAAGTGTTAAAAGAAGTCCGACGTTGTTAAACGACATACCTAATGTAACCATCAAAACAATATTTTTACATTTTTTACTAATGCAGATATTACTACATTTTATCGAAGAAATATTTGCTAGTATAACAGCGCAATCAATATTTTGATTGTTCTTCACATCTGCCAATTTTTATCACTGCGTGATTTGTCTTCAACCACTTAGCGTTGATTAGCATTGCTCTCAAACGCTACGTCAGGTAGGCGGCCGTTGGTGTTGTTTTATAACTTTATAACTATAAAAGAACAAAGCTGTACTTTGTTAAATGTTTTTATTTATGTTAAAGCATGATACTTCAATAATCAATAAATTGTTATTATAACTAAATCATAAATCTTCAAGACTCGTTTTTTGATTACGTAGCAGCTATCACGTTAAAAATAAAATTGCTTTATTTTGCTAGTGGTATTCTTTTACTTTTAAATTTTATCTGATCTTGGGCTTCGTTTCGGAAAATTCGCCACCTGCTAATTAACACTTATATCGTAAGGAAATATTGTCAGAATTTATTAATTATTATATTTATATTATTACTATAAGTACTACTGAAGTTGTATTAGGTATAAATAACTTGTTAGATAGATATGTGCCAAAAACAGTTTTATACTGAAGAAGTCACTGAATCAAAACTTTTGAATATCCAGAATAATATGTTAATTTAAAAATATGGACTGTTTTGCTTCAGTATTTATTAGGGTAAAAAAAAAAAACAAAAATAAAAATGTATTGATAGAAAATTTACTACGGTTACCTAGTAGCTGTATTGTAATTCTAGCATATTTTTTTTAAGTATTAAAATGAATTAGGTAGGTATATAAAAATTACCTGCTTTGCATAATTAATCTAAAATTAATCAATAAGTCACCTTAATAACTTTCAAGAGATACTCTGAATTTTATTTGAGATAAATCTTCTTATTGTGACTTTTTTTAAAGTTCTGTTGGTAATATATGTATGTATGTATAAATACATATTTAATAAATTCCATAAAAATATGCTATAACTGCTTTAACAGTACCTATTAATTTATCCTACACACACTAGGAAAATTAAGACTTGTATGAAACAAATTTATTGTATTTATTACACAAATACTAGTATGTTGACAACAATTGTTGATTTCTTATCTGAAAAATACAACTTGTGTTTGAATTAATTAGATAAAAAAAATAGAAGTAAGAGTAAATGATTTTCACAAAAACTTGAAAACAATCGATTAGGGGAAGTTTTTACAGGGGATGAAATACTTGTATAAATAATAATCCTGAAAACTTTTATCAATTGTTGGGGAATTCTGATAGTCGCTGATATATTTTTCAAATGGCAAATTTTCTGAGCATTTTCGACGGAAATAAAATATACTTATACGAGTATGCTTATATTTATGTATATGTACACTCACCATATTTTGCACATTTTCAGCAGAACGTATTCGGAAAAATTGTAAGATGACGTCAACATTTTTTGGGGGGTATAAAAATTTACCATGCTTACGGTAAGTTTAAGACGTTTGCAAGATTTCAAAGCATATACCTACGGTTTTCCAGTCAATAAAATAAACTGATCCATTCATTAATTTTTTTGAGACACTCTTTATAAGCCATTTGAAAAAATATTAATAATGATAAATCACAAGTAGAGACTCGGCAAAATTTTGAAATGACGTCATCAATTTTTTGGGGTTATAAACAGATATATTTTGATTAAAAAATCACTATGTAGACAGATAACTTCATGAAAGAAACTTAAAACTTAACAAGAGAGTTAATTCGTTTTTGTCACGTAATCATACGTTTAAAAAATGAAAACAAGAAAAATTACACAAGTTTTAACGAATAACAGCAAATTATTCCTACTTTTTAAGTAACTAGCGCTGTACATTGAACGCTGTTTCTTCTGAGACAATATAGTCAAATTTGCGGTTTGTGTTTTATATTCACTATTAATTTAAAATTAACCACATTTAAAACAGACTAATTCATATTTCAGAAACACAATAACTTTAAAAATCGGATATTTACTCTGTCAAGTGTAAATTGAACTGTCTTGACTTTTAAATAATTCGTAACAACGTCATACCTATTTACAGTCACGATTTACCAAAACTTTTTTTTTATGAATAAGTGACTGGCTTAGTATGACGAGACTGGAATCGCTCGTAAGAAAATGAAGACTTGTCAGAATTTAAAAATATGTCGTTTTAGTATTAACGTGACAGAATTTAACGCTATTTTATACTTTACTCTTTAAAGAATTGGTGCTCTGCTATTATATTGACGTCATTACCACAGAACATTATTCTAGTATTCCGTATTTTGTGCATTTTTTATTTCCCGAGCTATCTATTCTTTAGAAGTAATAAAACAGACGTATTTTTTAGTAATTTTGAATAGGTATTGGGACGATATTTAACAAATGAAATAAAGGGACAAAAATTAAAATTTATAGAAACTCAAAGTTTTCGATCAGTTACGCTAAATTATGGAAAAAGTTATATCATTCTGTTCCTTGATGAAATGAAACTTTCTTCTTTGGCAATCATTGTAGGATTAAACAAGGAAATCCATCAATTTGAACAAGACGCCAAATATATTAAAGCGTCGAAAAAAAAAATAACACCGTGAAAAACAACTCTCTATCCTAAAGGTTTGAATGTAATTAAATAAATTCAGCGTGAGAACACATTTTCCGACATTTCACAATTTGTACAATACGAAAATATAAGTTTTCCGCCTGCGTCCGCCTGAAGTCTGTCGAATGTCCGTTAAAAAATTTATTAAAAATGTAATTGTTAGCAAGTAAGGATATATATTATGTATACCGTCCCGGAAATTTTTGCGGACTCTCTATAGGTATAGCAAAATTAATGTTTATTGTTAAAGCTTGACGATCATTAAATTTTTAAGGCCATCTTCATAAATAATTATTTAAAAAAAATATGCACAGCATTGAACTATATAGGTAAATATTTAGAATAATTGAAAAATATTACACTGCACACCTGATGTGAGTCATGTTGAGCAAATCAGTTCTATTGCAAGATCCGTCAATATTCAAAATTAATGACCAATTTCTGCGCTTCTATCTATGCAACGACAGTACTAGGGAAGGTGTTTCTAATTGGATTCTTACAAAATTATTTCCGTCATTTAACTTCCTAGATTTTCGCGGTTAAGACTATGATAATGGAGCCAATATGAAGGGTACATTCTGGTTTACAAAAAAGAATTTTTATTATAAATCCAAGGGCTAGATGTTTGTACCACGTTTTGCCCATACCTTGAATGGAATGACGCTGCAAAGATAAGTAATAAAATAATTTTCTTTTTTCGCGTCACTTCCTTTGAGATGGGATATTCTCTTAAAAAGTAGATTCCTGTTTTAATTCTAAAACCATTGAATGATATTCGATGAGAGAGTAGAATAAATGCCATGCGGCTGTTGATATACCTACTTTTTAAATTTTGTTCAAATTTTTGCGTCGCGAATTTTAAAAAATCGCTATATCAGTTATTTATGGAAACTTTG